TGTTCTTCTAATCCTTTGTGCTGTTTTGCATACATTGTATCTATGTGTGTTGTAGTACTCTATGAGTACTACAATTGATTTATATTTGCCTGCGTCCTTTAAAGCAGAGGGATGAGAGAAATTATAGGATTTAAATGAATCCTTACTTTTATCATTTCTGGTCATTGCCAAGTGACACTTTCTCTGAAGCACTTTCCTCCTGGTGTGTTTGTGCTTCAGATGGGCTAGCTGCCCAGCCTCTCTTTAACACGTGGATGTTTATGTGCATGCTAATGCTTTTTCCTCATTACCCACATTGCTTTGGCTATAGAATTCTTGATAGCAGAATATCCTTCAGCATTTGAATGTGTCATCTGTAGTTGGTTGTTATTCTCTGTCTCTCTTTTTTTTTTTGGCTCTTTTGTTCTTTGCCTCTTTTGGGGGCTGCCACCCAGCTCCCAAATAAGCCACACATGGAGTCTTATTCTTTCTTATGAATGCCCAGCCTTAGCTTCACTTGTTTCTAGCCAGCTTTTCTTAACTTAAATGATCCTGTCTACTTTTTGCCTCTGGGATTGTTTCTTTTCTTACTTCTGTATATCTTACTTTCACTCTTATTCTGTGGTTGGCTGTGTGGCTGGCCCCTTTTTTTCCCTCTCCTTCTTCCTCCTTTTCTCATTTTTCTCTCCCCAGAGTTCTCCTATTTATTCTTTCTCCCTGCCAGCCCCACCTATCCTTTCTTCTGCCTTGCTATTGACCATCCAGCTCTTTATTAGACCATCAGGTGTTTTAGACAGGCCAAGTTACACAGCTTCACAGAGTTAAACAAATGCAACACAAAAGAACACAACACATCTTTGCATCATTAAAACAAATGTTCTGCAGCATAAACAAATGTAACACACTTTAAAGTAATTTTCCACAACAGTCATTTTACTCCCCTCTGGTCTCCCTTGTCTCCTTTATATCTCTGCTTTCCTCCCTTTCTGATGAGTTCTTCCTCTCTTGCTCTCAACCTTGCCATCTCCTGCATTGACTGCTTTCTCTAGAGTTCAGTAGTGTGTCTGAATGTCTTTAGTACTGTGTGACACATGAGCTCAGCTTCAGTTACTTTGTGGGTGAAAGGACTCTCAAGGCTCCTCGTTGCATTGTGCTACAGGTACCCCTAGGCATATTACTGTTTTTGCCTGTATTTCTGGATGAGGAAACATACCACGGGCCATCCAGAACATTAGAAAATAAGTGGTCCTGTGAAGTGACCCAGGCAGAATGGCTTATTCTTGGTCTTGCTGTGAATTTTCCTGCTTCATTCATGTCAACACTTTTAAATAAGTGGTCTTTCTAAGCCATTCACAAAGCTTTCAGTGCTTGCATGTTACTCAGAGGATTCCTGTGGACTTTGGACCATTATTAAACTGTCTGGAGCTTATTTTGTTTTCCTGTAGCATGGAAATGAAGATGGTCTCTTAAGGAGAATCCTGTGAGGGGGCAGGAAGGTAAATGTACTTTTTGGTGCATTCTGGCTTCCGTAGCTGCAGCCATCAGCTCTAAAGTCACTGAGAAGAGGTGCTTGGAATCAGATCCCTCCTCCTGGTTTGTGTCACTGACTGGAGCAGCAGCCTAAGTGCTTTTCTACTGGATATGATTGCTGACAACTTTCAAGCTGTGCTGAAACATGAAGTCCTGGAGAGTAGTAGTGCTTTTGCCCTTCAGCCTGTGTTTTTTACACTGCTTGTAGTTAAGTCTCCAAACTCTTCTGGGAAGCACAGTGTTTTGTCAGTGTCGTGACAGAGATACATCTTAGAATGATAAAAGAAGTGATGGAGGCAGAGAAGTGGGTATAAAGTAAGGAAACTTGTGGAAATGGTATGACTGTGGAAACCACTGCTTTGGGTGAGTTCAGGTGTCAGGGTGTTAGATGTTAGGGCTTAGGCTGGATGAGGTGTAAGTTCCAGGGAACAGACCCACCACAGTAGATTGACTTGTGGTTGAACTGGGAAGCAAAGTGTTGAAGTGAGTGTGGCTATATAGAGTGAGGGTCAGATATGAAAAGGCTGCCTGCATTGTGGCCTTTAAAACTAGGAAGACTTGGGCACGGCTGGGGAGGGTTTGAGGGGAGTACCTACGACAGAACCTTGTCATGTAATACACTGCTCAACTTTGGCAGGTAAGATGGCTTGGAGTAGTTGTTCAGTGTTGAAGTTAAACTGCTCAGTTGATAGAGAAAGTACTAACAAACAAAAGGGGGCTTCCTGACCATTTTCCTGTTGTTCTAAGGTGTAATTATTGTTATCTGTGTATCACCTGAGATATTTAATGTGCCTGTTAGGTATAAACAAACACACAAATATTTGTGTTTTGTTTTATAGCTTTCTTTTTCTCAATAATGTTCCTGAACATTTTTCTTCCACTGTATGGTTTATTAAACTAGTCTGTAGATATTTGATGTGTATGTGTTGTTTCCTACAGTTTAGGAAAACTTTTTTCTAAGATGAAGTATGCATTTTAAAGGTGTGTGTTGTGATTAAGTAGACTTTAGAATCAACTAGTCATGAGTGTGATTTTAGGTAAGTGTCTTAGGGTGTTTATGCCTCACTTTTCCTGTTTACTTAATGGGACTATTACTACTTACTTCTAGCCGTAAGCATTTGGCCTAATGGTATATGGCATTGCTTTAAGGGTGTCTTGTATATAGGCACATTTTGACTCCATAAGTTACATGTGTGGTATGTCTAAGATCATATAATTGCTAAGTAGTGCTGGGGTATGCATAAACTTAGTCTAGTTCTACAATAACTGCTTCATCAAACAAGGCTCATAGATTATAAGAACTGATGAAGCAGTGTTTTCAGAATCTTAGTCCTTCTGTCACTCTGGCAATACGTAGCTTATATTTACCACTGTAAACAATGTAAGCAACAGTAGGTTTGTTTAAACGAAATGATAGAAGCGGCATTTTTGTCTTTATAGCTTTGGCACAGGAACATAACCAAAAGACAAATTACTAATTGCATGTCTGCTTGACTGAATTGTGAATTGTTTTTCAAGTCATCTTGCAAAGGTGTTTCCAAATTATTTTAACGATGTTATAGTACTGAGTTTGGGATATCCTTCCCAGTGTCATGCTGCTAATTTAACTTCCCAAATTCCTGAGTGAAGGTGTTATTTTTCAATACAATTTATGTTTATTTTATGTTCATTGGTGTTTTGCCTGCATGTATGTCTGTGTGAGGGTGTCAGAAGCCCTGGAACTAGAGTTACAGACAAGTGTGAGATGCCATGGGTTCTGGGAACTGAACCAAGGTCCTCTGGAAGAGTATCCTGTGCTGTGGTTAACAACCATGCCTTGAACCTGGTATACTGTCAAAGAAAAATATGTATATAAAAGGTATTAAGCAAAATATCTTCCCTTCCCAAGGTGTCTGTTTGCTGGATTTCTTGTTGCCCTTGGAATAAAGAACATATTGAAAGATAAAATGCAGATACAAATGTAAGCTCAGCTGGGTTCTCTTGTCAGCACAAGGTTTTTAGTAATTTGAAATGGCATTACTTTTTTCTCTGTTTTTATTGTTAGAAAATTTAGTTTTTTTCAGGAAATAATGCATAATGAGTATATTAATGTTTTTAAATAAACAGGTGATTTAGTATTTTTAAACTTAGTTTTAGTTTCTAATAGGACAAATTTCAACAGACAAAAAATATACAATTAAAACATTTGTGATTCCCAGGCAGTATTTTTCAAGATCTTCTGAGAGACTAGAAATGCAGAAGGTGGGAGGTTTAAGGAGTACCAATGTAAGGACTACATCTGTAGGCAGCCTGGTCATGTGGCACGGGAAAGAGCTCGCTGTTCCCAGGTGATTTACCTTCATTGGACAGGTTTTAATTTCTCTGAGACCAAAGGTTTTTTGTTGTACAATGAGGTAACAGAGCTACTTTGTTAACTTTAAATCATTGTTTGACTTGCCTCTAGTTTTTGTATTTGATGTTAAAAATGAATGGTACACATAGCTAACTGGAATCATCCCTTTAAAAAGAGGTGGTAGTACCCAGAGTGGAGGCCCCCACTTGTAATCTCAGCTCTTGGGAAATTGGAGGCATGAGGCTCACTGGGTTCAGGTTTAATGTTGAGCTACATAGTAAGTTTGAGGCCAGTTAGTCTACACAAGACCTCGTCTTTAAAAAAAAGTTGTAAAAGTATAATTAGATGTTATTGTCTGACTGTAGAGTATTCTTTGCCTTTTATTTAAACATTTTTAATGTTTAGTGTGTGAGTGCTTGTATGTACCAAAGTTGTTTGTATGTAGTTTGGAGGATAACTTATAGGTGGTATTGCCTTCCACGGGGACAGACCTTATAGGTCAGCAGGCTTAATGGCATGTGCCTTTACTGCTGGTGGGCCACCTCACTGGCCCTGTAGAGGGTTTTTTTTTTTTCCCCTGAAACTTTTTCCCTTGAACCATCATCCAAATTTTTGAGTGTATGTGTAAACTTAAAACTTTGCAATTAGAAAATCGGCAAGATTGATTCAGAACACTTACTTGGGCACAAGACAGATGGTAATCCTATAAAAAGATGGCATATATTTTTGGAAGTGCAAACAGGAAAATAGATACTCTTTAAAAAATTCTAGAGTAGTCTTTGCCTAGAAGATACAGGAAAGAGATTTAAAAAAAACATATGGCTTAATTGAGCTTCTACTTTCTAATATCTAGAATTGGATCATGTCCCCTTAATATTAGAATCGAGTTACATATGCATTGGTAGCATTTTTCAACTAGATACCTGCCAAGTGCTTTTCTCATCTGTGGTGTAGATATGTGATAGTGGCAAGCAGGACTGTTGGAACCCCAGATTTAGTGAAGTTACTTACCATCTCAGAATCAGCTGTCGAGTCTGCTATCTGGGAGTTAGCCTCTATGCCTGGGGACAAGACCAGGTGCATAGTGAGTTCACTCAGTGTACAACTTAATGTTTAAAGTAGCTTGCGCTCCAAATATTTATGTGTTCTATTTTTACAGTATCTTTCAAAAAAAAAAAAAACAGTATATGACAGAGAGACTTAAAGTTGCTGCTGCTTTTTGTGAAGATGGTGTAGCTGTTCCTCTGATAAACGTCTGGTCTGAGTAGTTTCAGTGAGTATGATTCTGTCTGTACAGCAACCACTTTCTATCTGGAGTTAAAACTGAACCCTTGTCAGATTCTTTCCTTCCCTGCATTCCCACCTGTGTTTCCAGTGTGTGTGGATAGATTTGTATTGTAATTTACCATCCATATATCTGTCTGTTCTACTGGCTTTAAGATCATAACTAGCATTCATGCTACTGCACTGTGTTGCGTTAGAGCTGTAGTTTTCTGCTAATCAGCTGCATTGCACTAAGCCGTAGGTGAAAGGTGTTACGTTTCTTCTTCAGTGCCTGTGATGGCCAAGAACTGTGCCTTGAGGAGTATGAATGAAGGGCCATAGAAAAGGCTGTGTCTCACAATGCATGTGTATATTTTTTGAAGTGTGGGTTTGTCTTCTAGATAGAGAATTAACAGTGCCTTCTCTGATTTTGCTCCCGCAGCCTGGTGCATGGGCACCTCAGACCTAGTACTGAAAATAAGCTTGGTCAGATAGAAAAGAGATAGTCTTGACCTGTACAGGAAACATAAAACAAAAAACAAAGAGTAAATAAAGGACCTAGTATTTTCCCGATGCCCAATGTATGGCAGGCAGTTATCCTAATCTTCAGGGTGACAGTCCTAAGGATTGATTTTTTTTGTTTTGAAGCTTAAAAAATTTCTGTTAAGTCTTATGTGAAAACAAAAATGTTTAATTTTTTTTAACCTTTTTAAAATTCTTTTTCAGAAAATAGCTCTAGAGGTTAAATAAATGAAGCTGGACACAGTTCATCCATGAAGCATCATAGCCTGTCCCGATGTTTGGGGATAGCTGCTACAGAGAGAAATTGACCACTTTTGATTAGGTAACTAGTCACAATGAAGAAAATTAGTCTGAAAACCTTCCGGAAATCTTTCAACCTGAGTAAAAGCAAAGACGAAACCGAGTTCATGGTGGTTCAGCCACAGTCCCTTGCTGGCGACTTTGTGAAAGATGACTCCTTATTCGGGAGCTGCTATGGCAAGGACATGGCTAGCTGCGACATTGGCAGTGAGGAGGAGAAAGGGAAGAACAGGTCCAAAAGTGAGAGCCTGATGGGCACCTTGAAGAGGCGGTTGTCTGCT